ACTCTGTGGAAAATATTTGCTTTAACGCAATAATCAAGCAAAATGTATGAAACATGTCAGACAAATACGATCTAGTGAGAGGAAGGTCATCACAATGACTTTACAAAAGGCTGACTTAATGGGATAGTTGAAATCCTTTTAACATCAACTTTTATGTCAGATTAAATTTACCGTGGGTTAAAGATTTGTGCTCTTGCTTATATTGCTTCAGTTTAGAGGCATAAACACTACAGATTGTGTTATTTTTACTTGATGAGACGTGAATATGAAAAAGATGAAGTCTGTCATACTGACCAGTTTTTATTTTAATAGCTTTTATCTGTCATAGGCAGTTATAACATCAAAATATGAAACAAATGTGGTAGACTCTTTAGTTTTTTCTACATAGATCCCAACTTAGAAATCGTTTTATAATCAACTTTTGGGGTACTTATTTGTAGAATCAGATTAATTTTTAATAAAAGTAAATGTGTAGATAACCAAACATAAGATACGAAAACCTATTCTATTCTTATTGAGGAAGCTGTTTTATAATGTCTTAAATTTGCTCCTTTATCTTTTGTGGGGAATGGTTGTATAAATCGTAGAAAAATAAAATGTTTAGATGCCATTGATCTTTGAAAAGTTTTGAGATTTCAAATTTTCAAAAAAAAAAGCACTTTAAAAGTTTTTTGTCAATAACTTTATGAATACTTTGAGGAATAAAATGTCTTAAATTTCTCCTTCACTTCTGTTGATAATTTGGCGAGGAGAAAGGATAATTCCTTGGTTATACATTTACTGTACCCTGTTTTATATGTATGTTTGTCGTGTATGAAGTTTTGAACCCAGTATAGAAGGTGTAATTCAAACTCGCTTCCTTTGTCTGGAATGATAAATATATTTTAAAATGAAAGTTGATTTCGAATATTTTCATCTTTTAAAATGGGAGTATGACAAAGGTTAGATTACCAGAATTTGACTTCTGAAATTCAAAATTTTCAAATTCAACTGTAGTTATGATCCTTACAAGCAATGGCCTTTTTGCAATCTCAGTTAGTTTTAAACAGAACATACTTTTCATGTAGCCTTTCACTTTTCTTTAACATTTCCGGTCTTCTGAAAGCGGAAGACTAGAAATGGATAGTTGGCATACTTACTATACCATAACAGTAGTTATCCATCTAGCCGGACTATTGTTGAAAGAAGAGGAAGACACAAGAATATGTATAGAATATTGTCACTCTCTTCATAGTAAAACCATGGACAAGCGAAGATTGACAGTCAATTCTATGTTGAAGGGATTTGACACGTTATAAGTAAACCTCAAAATCAAAAATGAAACAGACTTTTTTTAAATTTAATAATGGTTTTTGGAAACCAGGTCTTCCAAACAATCTATTTGAATTTTCATGGATACCAATTGCGCTCCGTTATTAGCAGATCTACTTCGTATTCATATGAAGCAGAATTTGTGCAAAATCTTATGCGTGAAAAGAAGAAAACGCTTGCTGTGGCCTTCAACTCGACATCTAGATATATCGACGACGTATTGTCAATAGACACTGGTAAATTACTAGTTAAAATGATCTAACTGTGTCTCGGTACAAGCCCTCACCACAGTTAGAATACGTCCCATACACTTGCAATGTAGCAAATCGGAGCGGATCCGCTCCGAAACGATTTTGAAGAATATAAAAGGATTTGCACTAGAAATAACTACCAAATTAATCAAAATAAACCTTTTTGAGATTGCTTATGCCTTCTATCCCTGAAAATAATTCATCTTAAGACGAAAATCCAATTAATTTTCTCAACGTTTTTCTCTCGCTTCAAATTTACCTGCCATGTTTACATTCGGAACTCTCTAGACTGTTCGTAGTAAATGCACTGAGTTATAGTGAGTACGAGTTATCGCCCATTTCTTTTGCTATAGTACGAATACACGGAACGAATTCTATCGTTAAACCGGGTCCGTAGGACAATATCATTTTAACGATAGAACGTTCTATCTAGTATATTACATACCTATGTCAATACGATATATCCTGGTGAGCTTGAGATGAAAGATACCACAGAGTCTGACACATCTATTTCATACTTGGATATTTTACTTGAAAAGACGTTGATGGGAATCTAACAAACAAGCCCTACGATAAACGTGATGACTTTAAGTTCCCTTACTTATGCAGCAATATATCTGTCACGATTGTGACAATGATGCCGATTGTTTTATATAGGATTCGTGTTACCCTGTTTGTACATTGTACTTTCCCCCATTTGTAGATCGCATAAATAGTGAAATTTCTTATTATCGATTCTCTGTACTTACATATAGAGGAGGATGTTCTTATGATTATAATTTTATTATCCTGGATTAATATCAGTATTGTTATACGCTAGATTTGTTGTAAATATCGTTTCTGACTCTGAAACTTTATTTATAGATACCGCCATCATGATGATTATTTTGTGGGATATCAAGCCCGATTCTAATTGTAATTTCTCTGTACTAAGCATTTTTATCGAAATCTAATACTTACGGGATCTTGTCATATTGTATAAATGTTTTACATTATGATTGTCATATTTTTATATCGATTATCTATTGTTATTATTAAACATTATTTGACAATGATTATTGCCAATCTCTCACCAGAGGGCGTTTTACGCTCATCGCTCCAACACCTCTGTTATCGTCTAAATTACAAGAATCTTGTAAAACGAAAATGAATTATAGATTTCCACCAACTTGGCAATTTTTTTAAAATGAAATTAGAAATATCAATCTGTAGCACTTCTTTTGTTCTTTCAAAGTTTATATATATATTAAAATAGCTTCAATATATACGGCACTATTTTGTTCTGAATTTTTACACATATTTTCATTTTGAAACCAAGGAGACAAAGTCAGGAAATATTTACTACCAGATAGCTTAAAACACGTCACATCATTGAGAAATCATACAAAACAATCAATGTCTAACAATTTTTTTCGACAAATAATTATTTGACAACCCGCGCTACTTTTTAGACGACAACAGAGGTGTAAGCGGAGCGCGCCCTCTGGTGAGAGATTGGGTGGCTGCCGGTGGTACCGGAGATCTTCCGGTCGTCCGTAGGGAAGCGCGTGGGTTTCCGGGGGGACTCTCCAGAGCTATATAAGCAGAGGATAAGAACTGCCGGTGGGACTCGGTGTTAGGATTTTGAGGTTAGAGGGTGTTTTATTAGATTCTTAGAGTTTTTCTGTAGGAATTTAGTAATTTTTGAATTTATTCAATTTTTCTTATTGTGATTACGGGTTAATCTCGTATCACTATTAATTACTAGTATTTATCGTAGGACGTTTATATTGGGTTAATCTCGATATTAAACGATTAAATAATTTTGTTACGGTTTGACTGAAAGTGAGTCTTGAAGTCTTTCCATGTAAATAATTGTTTATCTTTGATAGATTTTAGGAATTCGATCAATATAAAGTGATAATCTAGTTGCGTTTATAGGAATATTCAAGCAGGAATTAAGGCTAGGATTTGATATAGAAATTATAGAGATAAATTTCTTGCTTTAAATAGCTTTTATAGATTGTGTAGATTCGTTCAGAAATACTTTGGTTATTCTAAGGTATTTCTATAGTATTTATTATTCACTATTCGGGTCATTCTCGTTTAGTGCCCCCCCTTTTATCGTATTAACGTAATACGAAAGTTTGTGTTAGTGTAGTATTATAGCACTTCACTGTGAATTTGGGTGATTCCCGACTTCCATTGAATTTTATTGTAATTGAATATTAATTAATACTTGTGACTTTTATTTATTGAATAAATTTGTAAACTTTGAATAAGGCTTATCATTTAACTTCCCCGTAGTTATTTACGAGTCCAAACACAGGTCATTCTTGTGTTATTATAGGAGATCTATATTTACGGGTCATTCTCGGAAATAATCACAGTACTACATGGGTTATTCCCGTGTAGGCTTCTAAGGAGTACTTGTGCGTGAGATCCAAGCAGCTCAGGTCCGTTACATATCTTCATCATCTGCATACGGAGTTTATATATCTCAGTTAATTCGATACGCAAGAGCATGTTCTACGTATGAACAATTTCTAAAACGAAGTAAATTATTGACAAACAAGATGATGAAACAAGAGTATCAGAAGTCTCGTTTAAAGTCATCATTTCTCAAGTTCTATGGTCGATACAACGACCTTGTCAGCAAATACAATTTATCATTGAGTCAAATGCTGACTGACGTTTTTCATACTAATTGTTAGTCCATTATTTATACACTAAATTGACGACGGATTTTTCCGTTATTTCTCGATCATGACACGGTTGGCAGGGGGATGCTTACTCCTCCATGGCACCTGATCCCATCTCTGATATTTTGGAGTTCCTTGTTTGCTCTGCTCCTATTTTGTTCTGTTTTATGGACTTTAATATTGAATACTGTTCGTAGTGCTTTATCCTTCATAATGCAGGTGACTGTGTTTTAAAGTTTTAACAGAAGAAACCCTAAGTCACAGCTCAATGAGTTGACTGTATTCTATCAATTCCTTTGTGGTGGAATTCATCCCTGTTTGTTGATCTTTCCTCATCTTAGTGGCAAAAACGCTGCAATCAGTTGTTTAAAATCCTTCCTTTCCTAATCTGCAATACATATCTACTTTCCTGAGCTGACCAGTCAAATCAGTTGATACCAAACACTTAGTCTCAAAGGAGCGGTTACATATATAATCATTACAATGAAAAAAAAAGAAATCCTGGTGTAAATGTACGTATTATGTTTAAGTTGTATAAAACACTTCTAAACTTTTTTTCTGAAAACGATAAATCAAATGACATCAATGTTAGGGGAAAATGTTTTTAGATATGTTTTTTAATAACATCATGAAATGATTCTGCTTTAATAAAGAGAATTAATAATTGGCCCAAAAAAAATGAACCAAGTGAACGTATCGGAAGTTTACATGTGAAGAAAAATCCTCACAATGCAATCAAATTTATTAATAATCTCTGTTGAAAAGTTGTTTTCAAAATTTGACAAAATCTTGCAAACAGTATAAAGCTTTTTTATCAGCTGTATAAATTTTCTTGATCATGGTAGTTGAAAACTGCTTTAAAGCTAGGAAGTTGATTATGCAAATTATGATTTAAATACAATATATTAATGTTTAAGACTCTAGAGAAAAAGCACTATATTAAGCATGATTAAATTAGAGAAACACTGGATTGAATACTATCTATGACCTTAATTACTCTGAAATGTCTCTCTACATGTACTGATGTTTCCAATGTATATAATCCGCTATATGCCCACTATCTGAGTTTTAAAATCACAGCAAAAACAATAAGGGCACATAATGTCAATACGCCATTTCCGGTTATAACACTTGAGCCTCCTCCGCCACCACCAGATCCGCTCCCACCTCCGCCTGATCCTCCACCGCCACTAGAACTACCTCCACCAGTTCCTGTACCGCCTGTTCCACCACTGCTAGATCCACTCCCACCAGATCCACTCCCACCGCTTGATCCACTACCGCTTGATCCACCACTAGCTGCTCCACCAGATGCAGATGTTTGCGTTAGAACTCCTTAAATTTTATCATAAGCATTTCATTAAAAATATATACTTATATATGTATTACTTTTGAAAGAACAACTTAAAAAAATTACAAGAATACATTAAGAGAAAAAGAAAAGAAAAGGTTTCAAAGTTTTGTCAACATTAACTTTTTGACGATCATTAAATACTTAGACATTACAATGCTTGTAGCATATGGAAATTAAGTTGCAGATTCACAATGTCAGGGTTTTGTGATTTCGGAACTCAACACAAGTCCTTGATATAAGTTACTGTTTAAACGTTGTGTTAGTGGCTACACATGATGTAATGGGTAATAATAAACTAACCAATGAGAAATATTTTTCAAAGTCGTCATTTTCAAACTGCTCAACGCAAGAGCTTATATTTTGTGATTAAAAGGAGAACGCTTTTCCAAATATTAATAATTCCCGATGTATCATTTAAAGTAGATTGTCCAAAATCCTACAATATTGACACTTTCTATTTGAAGGACGAATAATATTTGTTTACAATAAAATTGCCTACAATAAATGCTGTTAGTCCTAGACAGAAAAAAGGGAAAATAAGCTTTCTAGATTTCTAGTCAAAAAGGAAAGATTTTATGGAGAGGACTTATATAGGCAGTGCCTGCTGTCCAATCCTATTATATTTTTTCATAATAAAATATTGATTAAATTAAATTTTAAGGAAAGATGATACAAACAAAAACTGGATACATGGATTGGTATATATGTTTTAAATAACCCAATTTCATTGCAAATGATACAAATAATAATTTTCTAGAATATAAAGAAATTGTAAACCTTCTGTGACGTTCAAAATTCTACCCTTTTGAAACCATCCGTATTACTGTAGTTTTCTATACAAATATTTCTCACTTCAAATTCCATATTTGTACAACTTTGAATAAAAAATAAAAACTAAGCGGTAAAACTTATTTATCTCATTTATTAAACATGACCCAAGTTGTTATTTTCAATTTTTTTGAAAAAAGTTTGTTTGTATCATCTGTCCTTAAATAGCGAATTCACTTCAAGGGTTTGAGTGGAGTTCCGAAATCACAAAATTTTGACATTGTGAGAATAATTAAGGGTTATAATCCTGCTTTGTCCATGTAACAAAACGTTTGCAAAGGTGTTATTTTAAGGTAATTAAAATAAATAACACTTAATTTGTTTTAAATAAAGGATATGTGCAATTTGCGTTTGCATGAGAGTACACGTTTGCGAAATTTTGTTCATTGACAAATTTGCATCCTCCCAATTTACACGTTTACAATAATTCGTTAGTAATTTAATGAGCTACATGAGTTAAATAAAAGTAACAAAACTTACCTTCATGAACACAAATAATAAAAATAAAAAGCAAGGCAAAAACAATTTTGTTCATCATCTACAAAGAAAGAAAAAAGAAACTGTACAATTCAAAAACTTTTTTAATGATATCTTAAAACACGTTTCAAAATTTTCTATTGGAAAAAAGATATGTTCAGAACATTTAATTAATTTATTTATTTAGTTAAAAATATAAGCTTCTGGATGTGACCTTTTTAATTAGCAAATTTAGTTGAAATAAAAGGCATTAAAAAAAAAGAAATTTAACTTGACTATTATTACAAAAGAATCACTTCTTTGAACACTTGTATGAATGTACAGTCCAGTGAGAAATAAGATTCGCCCGATCTTACCTTTCTCGATATAAGACCCCACTCTCTGGGTAAAGCTTTTAAACTTTCTTTTATAGCAAAACAAAATTTGTCATGAGAGACAAGATTAACTATACCAAAGTTTATTGACTTTCGATTCAACTATTTTTTTCACTTGTTATCTATACTTTGTAAAATCAAATCAAATACCCCATACTCCATGCTACGAAATACTGGTTTTAATGTTGTAAAACTAAAGTCCTTTTAGAGTAAATTGAAAGTTGAAAACTGAAACTGATTCAAAATTTGTAAAATAAACCTTTTACAAAATACGGACATAAATATTCACACTGAAAAAAATTCATAGTAACAGATTTACAAAACACGAGTATTTGTAGTCGCATTGCAAAATTTTGGAAACATTTACTCACAAACAACTCTGTAATCAAATGTTGGTAAAATCAGCTTTGATTTCAGCATATTAGTTAATACATCATGTTCAGATTGGTAATTTGGTACGTTTTAGGGGAAAACACATACATGAAATATGTGGAGAAAACGAAAAGTATTTGAGCTAATAAAACCATTAAACCTTACAAAATAGGAGCGGAGCAAACACGGACCTACGTATACAAAACATCAGAGGTGGGATCAGGTGCCATGGAGGAGTGAGCATCCCCTGACAACCGTTCACACCCGCCGTGTGCTCCTTGTCATGATCGGGAAATAACGGAACAATCCGTCGACAATTCATTGTAAATGTAATAGCCTAACAATTAGTATCCAAGCATAAAAACGTCAGTCAGCATTTGACTCAAAGATAAATTGTATTTGCTGACAAGGTCATTAAATCAACCATACAGCTTATGAGTTAACAGGAATGCTGGTATTCTTGTTTCATCAACTTTTTAGGTCACCTGAGTAAACTCAGGTGACCTATTGCTATCCGTTTTCGTCCGTCGTCGTGCGTCGTGCGTTGTGCGTTAACATTTGAACATTTTCAGCTTCTTCTCTGCAACCACTAAACCAATTTCAACCAAATTTGGCACAAAACATCTATGGATAAAGGGGAACAAAAATTGTGAATTTCATGATCCCTGACCCCCTGGGGCCTGAGGGGTGGGGCCAAAACCACTAAAATTAATGCAATCTTTAAAAATCTTCTTCTTTACTCCTGGGCATCAAGCAGTCAAACTGTTTGTATGATTGTAATAAGCATTGAGTCCTTATCCAAAATTGTGAAATTCATGGCCCCAGGGTCAGGGGTTCTAGTGATAGGGCGGGGCTAAATAAGTATATAGTGAAAATGCATTATTTCTTTGAAAATCTTCTTCTCTGCTCCCGGGTATCAAATAAACCAACCAAGTACATAGTTATGATGAGCTAGAATGCTTCTACCAAAATTGTGAATTTTATGTCCCCATGGTCAGGAGTTCTGATGTTAGGGCGGGGCTCTATTGATTATATAGTGAAAGTACATGGATTCTTTGAAAATCCTCTTCTCTGCTCCTAGGTATTAAATAAACTAACTAAGTGCATAGTTATGATGAGCTAGAATGCTTCTACCAAAATTGTGAATTTTATGGCCCCAGGGTCAGGGGTTCTGGTGTTAGGGCGGGGCTCCATTGATTATATAGTGAAAATACATGAATTCTTTGAAAATCTACTTCTCTGCTCCTAGGTATTAAATAAACTAACTAAGTACATAGTTATGATGAGCAAGAGTGCCTCTACCAAAATTGTGAATTTTATGACCCCAGGATCAGGTGTTCTGGTGTTAGGGCGGGGCTGTATTGATTATACAGTGAAAATACATGAATTCTTTGAAAATCTTCTTCTCTGCTCCTAGGTTTAAAATAAACTAACTAAGTACATACTAGTAGTTATGATGAGCTAGAATGCCTCTACCAAAATTGTGAATTTTATGTCCCCATGGTCAGGGGTTCTGATGTTAGGGCGGGGCTCTATTGATTATATAGTGAAAGTACATGAATTCTTTGAAAATCTTCTTCTCTGCTCCTAGGTATTAAATAAACTAACTAAGTGAATAGTTATGATGAGCTAGAATGCTTTTTCCAAAATTGTGAATTTTATGGCCCTAGGGTCAGGGGTTCTTGTGTTAGGGCGGGGCTCTATTGATTATATAGTGAAAATACATGAATTCTTTGAAAATCTTCTTCTCTGCTCCTAGGTATTAAATAAACTAACTAAGTGCATAGTTATGATGAGCTAGAATGCTTTTTCCAAAATTGTGAATTTTATGGCCCCAGGGTCAGGGGTTCTTGTGTTAGGGCGGGGCTCTATTGATTATATAGTGAAAATACATGAATTCTTTGAAAATCTTCTTCTCTGCTCCTAGGTATTAAATAAACTAACTAAGTGCATAGTTATGATGAGCTAGAATGCTTTTTCCAAAATTGTGAATTTTATGGCCCCAGGGTCAGGGGTTCTTGTGTTAGGGCGGGGCTCTATTGATTATATAGTGAAAATACATGAATTCTTTGAAAATCTTCTTCTCTGCTCCTAGGTATTAAATAAACCAACTAAGTACATAGTTATGATGAGCAAGAGTGCCTCTACCAAAATTGTGAATTTTATGACCCCAGGGTCAGGGGTTCTTGTGTTAGGGCGGGGCTCTATTGATTATATAGTGAAAATACATGAATTCTTTGAAAATCTTCTTCTCTGATCCTGGGTATTAAGCAGATGAACTTCCTATATAGTTATGATGAGCAAGGGCCATAATCTTCCAGAATTGTGAATTTCAAGGCCCCAGGTTCATGGGTTCCCCAGGGGGGGGTGTGTACTGAAAATGAATGATTTTTTTGAAATCTGCTTCTTGGTATTAATCAAATATTTTGAAAAGCAAGGATGCCTTTTAAAAAATTGTGCAATGTGTGGATCTAGGCCTAAGGGTCAGGGGTTCATGTGTGGTAGGGGCACTACTGATTAATTCTGAATATTACTAATTAGTTGACATTCATTTTTTGTTCCCCTACCTTGCCTATAAGTATTAAGTAACCAAACTAAGCAACTTCTTAGTGTATAGTTATGATGATCAATGCGGCCTCTTTCAAAATTGTGAATGCCATAGCATCTGGCTTAAAACATGAATCAAATTCAATCACTGGAGAGTTGTTGCATAATGCTCAGGTGACCTATAAGGCCCATGGGCCTCTTGTTTGTCAATAATTTACCTCGTTTTAGAAATTGAACATGAGTAGAGCATGCTGTTGCATATCGAATCAACTGAGAGATAAAAACACCGTAAGCAGGTGATGAAGGTAATATTACTGCATAAGTAAGGGAAGTTGACGATTAAAAGTTTAAGTCATCACATTTATCATAAAGCTTGGTTTTAGATTACCATTAACGTTTTTTTCAAGTAAAATATCTAAATATGACTGAGATGTGTCAGACTCTGTGTTATCTTTTATTTCAAGCTCATTGGGATTATGTCGTATGGGCATAAGAATGGAAATAATCATTGTTTACTGATATATCTACGTGGGGAGTTGAAAGCCACAGCAAGTGTTTTTCTTCCTAATTTATGTATAAGATTTTAGACAAATCCTGCTTCATTTGATTCCTCCAATCCCATTTCAATGAATGTGTTTCGGGCTTGATTATAGATCAAAAAAGTGTTAAAGCTTGTCTTACTTGGCATAAAACACGGGCCCCTGGTTACGATCTTTTGTTAATAATCTATCAATAAAGGGATCTAGATCCTTAGCAAGAAGTTTATAAAACAAAGATATCAACAGTCTCGTTTGATGTCATGACTTGTCATGCAAGTTCTATGGTGGATACAATGACCTTGTCAGCAAATATAATCTATCGTTAGTTAAATGCTGAATGACTTTAATTATTCGCATTGGTTGGCTATTGCTAAAAATGTTAAGGATTTTTTTTCCTTTTTCAAAAACAAAATATTGACCAGTATCAGTAGCAAAAAACTGTATGACTTTTCAACTTGTATTTCTAGAATTCGAGAATTCTAGAACTGAAATTCCAGAGTTGGAATCAGCAGAAGTAAGCATTCCCGTTGACTGGTCACACCCGCTTTAAGCCCTATGTAATGTTCAGCTAAACGGGACATTTGCTACTCAAATTTAGTGGAAAAAAAATGCCTAACAATTGGTATGAAAAAAGTCAGCCAAGAAAGACCCAATAAGAAGTTGCATTTGCTAAAAGGGTCATTATAAAGACCATAGAATTTACGAAATGCCGAGTTAAAGAGATTGTTGAATTGATAGTAACATCAACTTGTCAGTGAGTAGCATACCTCGCTTTAAACATTCATCGTACCCAGAGCAAACGCTTGAGTTGCAAATACGTTGGGAGATATGAACTCAATTAACAGGTGATAGTGGAATATTACTACATGAATAAGGAAATTTGACGATGTAAAAGCTGTAGTCGTCTTAGGCAGATGGTATTTTTCCGATTCCAGTGGGAAATGTCGAAAAGTTTCTATGTCCCATTTCAATAAGGAAATATATTCTGAGATATTGAAGATGTTTTATTAAGCAAAATAACAATTGCATTTTCTTTTTCTTTTCTCTCTCTCTCTCTCTCTCTCTCTCTCTCTCTCTCTCTCTCTCTCTCTCTCTCTCTCTCTCTGTGTGTGTGTGTATTTCTGTTTCTTTTTTTTTATCTGCAGTACTGAAGAATTTGTGAAAAAGAACATTAAATAACATAAAATCACATGCATGAATCATGGTTCGTCAATTTGTTTTGAGAGTTCTGAACAGTATTTCAACTACCTCAACTCTATTACAAAGTAAGATCCTAAAGATAGCAGTGTAACTAAGGCACTTGCGGTTCTTTCTCCTGCAGCCCCGTTGCCATCTGATGGGGAGGTGTCTGAACTAGTTTTATCCGTCGCAGTAGTAGCACTACTGATGCTCTCACCAGGAGATGAAAGGTTTTCAGTTGTAGTGGGAAGACCAGCGCCATCACAAAATCCTGTCCACAAATATCCAAAAAATTATCCCTTTTTAAAATAACTGTGTAAAAGATGGTGTTTTATGCATGCACTTCAAAGCCACAAAGATTCTTTTTTTTATATTCAGAGGCAATTAAAGGCATTTATATACGAAGGAAA